TCCTTTGACCAAATGTGTTCTAAACAATTATGGTACCTCCCCTTCTGTCCTAAGTTATTCGCGTTTCCTTTTTCAACGTCTGGGAATGTACCACGTCCAAGGTTCAACTTTGGAAATGATCATGCAGACAATGAACCCCGGACTAGGTGCGTTCCAATAAGTCTTCCTACCAATATGGCCATGTTGCGAAAACAAGGTCAAACAACCTCTATACAACGAAAGGAGACTACGACCACACAAAAGGCCACACCATCTTGGTCTTCATACCTACGAACATTACTTAGTTTCCGTTTGTAAGTAGGCCAGGTGTGCTGATGAGACCTAGGGGGGTCAAAACTGCAGTCCACCCTGGATTGGAATAGCTTTTGGGAAGCAAGGCTATGGGAAATTCCGTGAAAACAAAGAAGCTACTCATATTAGTGTGGGAAAATTCAATTACTTTTCTTCATCACTTTAAACGAAAAAAGTTGAACACATCTCATATATCTGATTTAATGGTAATCTTGAAAGCCTACTTACATACGAAAAATAAGCAGGTGAGTTTTCTTGACTCGTTAGCTTGAATATGATTGTAAGGATGATATTTTGCTCTGATGATGTCCGTCAAATGACGGACGAGAGCTCAATATATTTTCCCTGGAATCGAAGGAGACTGTCCCGGAGACAGCGCCAACAAGAATGTTCCAGCAAAACCAATCGACAGCTGGTCAAGAGGAATCACCGTCGTTTTGTTGTGGGAACGAGCTTCGAATTTCTTCACCAAACACTTTCACCCCTTTCTTCTCTGGTGCTAAGAGGTGAAACGATTTTGTGAATCCCTTCATAAAGGAATAAAAGGCTACGACAAATTCAATTGATGACTTAAAGTAGCAAAAGTTATACCAACTATGAATTTCTAGGGCCACGTAACACCTAAAGGCTACCCGTGGCATAAAGTTTCTTCTGAGTTGTGGTAGATTACATCTGACAACGAGGACCTGGTTGGTCAGTCAGTCTGGGTCTTTGAAATCGTCAAGACGCCGATTCTTGCATTGCTCTTAGAATGCCCCACTGGCAACTTCTGAGGCCATCTGGATCCGATTCCCTCAGTCGTGCATTTCTGGCCAACAGAGAACCAGCCACGTTAAGAGGGTCGAGAAAGCAAGACTGGTTGCTTCGTTTTACTCTGTCAAAATAAAAAATATTTGTGTTAACCGGCCAGTAGATGGTAAGAATAATTAGAATGTACAGTGTATTCTAAGGTCTATCTGTTTTGACAGAATACGGGATTTTGAACAAACGCGAATGGAAAGAAAATCATGTTATACTGAAACTGATGTATGCGGGCTTCAATGAAGGCAAGCCAAAGAAGTGAATAAACAATTAAAGAACAGTATAAAAGACAAATATATATTGAGAAATTTAAGTTTTTATATCCTTTGTTTCAAGTTAACTATTGGACGCAACGGAGTTGAGATCAATTGGAAATTTTTTCTCTCATTCTAAAACACAATTAATTGGTAGCCGGTTATTCGTCTGGGCTTCTTAGTTTTTTGTGAAGTCTTATTTACAAATAGCTGTTCGTTAACAAGAATGAGTTAATCTGATTTGGGGACTGTTAACTAAGGATTTCTACGCTTACAACTTTAAGGAGGATTGCCTCCGGCACCCGGTAATATCAACCAACGAGGACCTTCCAACCGATTGCTAATATCGAGTCAAAGGTCCAAGGTATCGAGTTCAAAAAATAATTTACTAAAGGCCTGAAAAGAAGCAAATCTTCACGATGGATTCAGGAACAATCGGCTACCGAGTTAAAAATGAGTGTGAATTGGTAAAAAAAAATAGCAAAAGCCTCGCTGGGAGGTTAAGAAGATCCCCATAAAGAAGAGGCAAATCATATACATGTGGTTTTAAGTGTGAATCGGCTAACATGAGTGTGATCCTTGCATGTAGAAAGTAAGGTTTATTTAAGTCGATATATGCATCAGATCACGGATAAGAGAGGTGGAGGAAGAGCAAGTCACGTCATATAAAAGATAAAAAACCCTCAAAATATACAAAATTATAAGTAGGAAGAAGAAAATTGTAAGAGCTGATAAGCTGACAAAAGTCATCCCATTTTCTCCCGAGTTGCGCTGTAGCTTCACTGGTGTCCCATTGTGTATATGGAATGCATCTATGAGAAAACTCGGTAAAAGCAATTATCCTTTTCACCAAGATAATAAATATTGTTGCCAAGGCCATTGAGAAGAGTGGGAAGAATAATTTTGATAATCGAATTCTAGATTTAAAGTTGGGAATATCAAAAGGAACTTTTATGCAATATCTAAAAACCACGCGAAATAGTGGAATCTTAGAGCCATGCATAAGCAAGCTTATAAATGTGGATGCCTCAAAAGGCATTTTCGGCAAAGGAGAGGCCTTACTTGACTCGTAAGTTTGAGTAGTCTGAAACTGAGGCCATAGGAACGGTAAAAAATCACTCATAAAAGGCTTCAAGACCCACCTGGACCAATAAAAAAGGTAGAGAGCCATGTAAAGCTCAACCAAAAAAGACAATGTGCAAGCTAGTAATTCGGTTGTCAGGAGGTTTTATGTGAACCACACAACAATTTCTCAGATCTGCTTGAAAAGGGTCAAAACACAGACTAGCCCCATGCTAATTAGCCGAATTGATCCAGGCGAATCGTCCGAACAGATTCGAGCAAGTCCTCATGGTGAACAGGACATGATCTAAAACGAGGCAAATCCAGCATAGCCTATTCTGAATGTAGCGGTTTGTGTGTGACAGGCCTTCATGGAGCTATAAAAAAATGCGAATCTTCGAGTCGTATGGACAGCCGGTTCATAAAAGCAGCCGTTGGGGAAGGGAATTGAGCCTAGCGCCAAGGCATAAATCAGTCAGAACTTATTGGCTCTCGGAAATGTCACTCTGGTTGTGGTCGAGGTCGTTGTCGACGTAACCGTCTATTACAGCCTCTTTCGGGAGGAGTCGGCTAGCTCTGACGGTACATTCGAAGCAGTCCTTTAATCCAACCGCCTCTATAAGAGGTATCGGGCATGTCAACGACTGGTTGCGAAGGGCGCATTTGTGGACAGCCGAGGAGGCCATAATTGGCATCGCCTTGAGTCGTGAATCGGGTAGGGGTGGATGGATTTGCGGTGATCGGATTGGCTGTGAGACAAAATAGCCGGGAAAAGGAAGAAGAGCAGTAGGGCAGGGAAAGATGAGAAAAGAAGGTAAAAAGGATTATGTACAAAATTCAAAGAATCGGGTATCCAAGGTACATAAAAAAGGCACAAAATAATGATCGTCCGGGCTAGCGTGAGAGTAACAGTGACGACACTTATAGTAACGATAAAAAGACCGACAGTATTCAATAAAATATGAAATGTATTCAATCTTTTTGTATAAGCTGACAAAGAGACTGGTAGTTGAAGTTTCCCACGACTATATGAGTAAGCCATACGTTTTCTTAGTCTGGCTTTCCCAAAAGGGGTTCTTATTCAGGCTGAAGTGGACTGCCGTTTCGACCTCGTCTGAACTGGTCCCATCAGCACCTCCAACAGGACTTGAACCATGACACTTAAGTGTATAATCTCGACACGTTAGCAACTACGCCACATTGACGCGAATGCCCTAAAGTCACAGAAGAGATGTGAATTTAAAGGAAGGCCAGGCCTTTTTCACTGCCACATGCTGTGGTGGGATTGTCGATGAGACAAAGCAGTATTTGCCATAGCAATCGACTACATTATTTATTCTTCGTTTTATATTTAGGTTTACGAGACTGTCAGTAGAAATGTATCCACTGTATTTCGTTTAAGGTGATAAGGGGACTGATAGTAGACGACAGATAAATAATGTAAGATGTATTCACCTATTTTCGTCTAAGGTAGTAGAATTTTCCCACAATAATATGAATAGAACTGACGTTTCTACTACCATCCTTCATCACCTTAAACAAAATTGGGTGAATAAATCTCATATTACTGATTTACTGGTAGTCTCAAAACTCCACTTAAAATAAGAAAAAGAAATAACGTAGTCGATTGTTATAGCAAATATACGTTTGCTTCATCGACAATCCCACCAAAGAAGAGGATATGGCAAAATGCCTGGCCTTCCTTGAAATTCACATTTACCTTGTGACCCAAGGGCACTAGTGGCAATGTGGACGAGGGGTTAATGTGTCAAGTACCCATTCTGCACTGTCATGGTTCGACACCCGCTGGGGGTGTTGATAAGACCGATGCGAAGTCGAAACTGCCGTCCATCCTGAATGAGAACAACTTTTGGGAAAGCAAGGCTTTGCTCATATCATTGTGGGAAAATTCTACTACCAGTCCTTCATCACCTTAAACGAAGTTGGATGAATACATCTCATATTACTGATTTACTGGTAGTCTCAGAAAAAATGCAATTAATTGCTATAGCAAATAAAACTTTGCTTCATCGGCAATCCCTTCAGAAAATGTGATATAACAAAATGCCCGGCCTTATTTGAAATTCACACCTGTCCTATGACCAAAGGATACACGAGGCAATTTGTTGTCGTGGCTAACGTGTCGAGATTATACGCTACACTGTCGTGGTTCGAGTCCCGCTGGGGGTACTGATGATACCAGTTTAGGCGAGGTCGATATTGCAGTCCGCTCTTGCCTGGATGAGAATACCCTTTTGAAAAGAACGGCCATGTAAAATTTAATGGAAACGTCCGGTCTACTAATATGATAGTGGGAGTCCTCTTACCTCCCCAAACTGAATAAGATGAGTACACTTTTCCTGCTAGTGACGAAAACTTAGTTCTAAAACAAAAAATAAGTATTCAATGGTGATCGCTTTTGTTTTGCGCATTAGATCTAGTCACTTGGGGCCTAATCGGCTAATGATGAGAAAATTAACTTCTCTGTTCCTCGTCACCTTATACCAACTAGCGGGACTAGAATTCGTATTCAAGATCTACTGGATCTAAGTAGCATAGTCGATTTTAATGGAATAATACAAGTTATGTGGAATAATATGAGATGTATTCACTCTATTTCGTCTAAAATGATGAAGGACTGGTAGTAGAATTTTCCCACTCTAATATGAAAATTATGTGGAATAGACATTATGACCCACAGGTTTTGGTGGCAGTGTAGCGTAGTGATCGCTTCACTGGCCGAGTTCAAATTCTGTCGGGGAAGCTGATGAGACCCAAAGAAGGTAAAATCTGCAGACCAGCCTGCAGAAGAATATCCTTTAGGCTACAAGGCTAAATGAATTTCAATGATATCGTGATGTTCACTCATATTATTATAGGAAAATTTGACTATAAGTCCTTCATCACCTTATTCGAACTAGGACGCCTAGACTTCTTAATCTTGATTTGTCGGAAAACAGAGTAAGTTTATTTTTCGTTTACAGGTAAGCTTCGGGGCTACCACTAAATAATTTATATGAGGTGTATTCAACCAATTTCATTTAGGATGATAAGGAGACTGTTAGTTGAATTTGCCCATAATGATGAGTAGACAAGGCATATATAGTGAATTTCACATGGCCATGCTTTCCAAAAGGGCATTTTGATCCAAACTCGACTGGAATGCAGTTTAGGTATTAATCGTTTTCGAGACTACCAGTAATTCTTGAATAATAACTTAGTCATACTTGGTTGTTTAATTGAATGCAATCGTGAGGCTTAATCGTCTCATTGTGGGTAAACTTAACTACCAGTTCTCACATCAACCTAACCGACTGATAGTCTCAACAACTACTCATATCAAATTAAATAAAGTATTTTTCGAATTAAGTGATGAAGGACTGGTATAAGAAGAATTTTCCCACAATATCATATCATTGTGGGAAAATTCTCATTCTACCAGTCCTTCATCACCTTAAACGAAATTGGGTGAATACATCTCATATTAAATAAAGTAGTCGATTACAAGGGCAAATCTATGGTTGCCTAATCAACACTCCGACTAACAATATGATTTATTAGAAGCCTAGCTAGCCCTGAATACTGCATCTGCTCTGCAACGCATATCCATCCGTGGCTGTTTAGTGGAGTGAAAAACATCGTCATGATATGACTGGCTTGGGGTCCTGATGAGACTGAGGCGGTTGAAGTAAACGTTCAACCTGAATTAGATAATCTTTCGTGGGTAAGGCTAAGTGAGAAATAATGACATCCTCAAGCCTACTCATCTCATTGTTGGCAAACTAAACTATCACTTGTTAACTCACCTTACGCGACCTAGACTGACTAAGCTTCTATTTTTAAAATGCTTTCATAGCATTTCTTTTATTCCTTTTTACTTATGCATAAGTTGCCTAATGATGAGGGGAGTAAATATGCATTTATCACAGTTGGTCTCACTATGTCACTGAACTGCAGTTGCCACCTTTACTGGGTCTGGTCCGTACCACATAAGGCTCCGAAATTGAATCGTGAACACCAAATGCAACGTTGCCACTAAGTTCCAGATTCAGATGATAAGTGATCATAGGAAAGATTTAGGCCTTCTGGATCAACCAGACTCTGCCAAATCATAATTACAATTACTACTACAAAGTAATGTTGGGTAGGTTTAGAAAATACTATTAGGTCTTCAATAGCAGGTGTATTCATCCTAGGTCACCTCAGATGACGAGGAACTAATAGCTGAATTTTCTCACAACCTTATGAATAAGCCTTACATTGGCTTTGCTTCCTAAAATCTATCCTTATCCAGAGTAGACTGCAAATTCGACCTCACCTGGGCCTCATGAACACCTTTTGGGAAACAAGGATGAATGCAGTGGGTTGACCTCGTCGTCGCAACTTGGTCTTGTTGTTAGGGCGACTATGTAAAACGTACCTAGTCCGAAGTCGTCTGCCATAGTAGTTGTCATGATTTCCAG